TTGATGAAGGAAAAAAGGTGAGTGGTGCATTGAGGTATAAGTGGAGACAAAAAAGTTATCTATGGAGGCAAAGAAGGGAATGTATGAAAGTATAGTAGTACCAACACTCTTACATGGGTGTGAAGCTTGGGTTGTACATGCTGCAGCGAGGAGGCGAGTGGAGGCAGTGGAGATGTCCTGTCTAAGGGCAATGTGTGGTGCAAATATTATGCAGAAAATTCGGAGTGTGGAAATTAGGAGGTGTGGAGTTAATAAAAGTATTAGTCAGAGGGCTGAAGAGGGGTTGTTGAGGTGGTTTGGTCATTTAGAGAGACGACACTGACGACACTGGAGGACAGGAGAGATAGGGAGGACATGATAACGACATACAAAATACTGAGAGGAATTGATAAGGTGGACAAAGACAGGATGTTCCAGAGATGGGACACAGCAACAAGGGGACACAGTTGGAAGCTGAAGACACAGATGAATCACAGGGATGTTAGGAAGTATTTCTTCAGTCACAGAGTAGTCAAGAAGTGGAATAGTTTGGGAAGCGATGTAGTGGAGGCAGGATCCATACATAGCTTTAAGCAGAGGTATGATAAAGCTCACGGTTCAGGGAGAGTGACCTAGTAGCGACCAGTGAAGAGGCAGGGCCAGGAGCTTGGACTCGACCCCTGCAACCTCAACTAGGTGAGTACATGGATAGCATTTAAATCTATAGGGGAAGGAAGGCGGGGTAGGGGTCGTCCTCGAAAAGTTTGGAAAGAGAGGGTAAAGGCGGTTTTGCGGGCGAGGGGCTTGGACTTCCAGCAAGCGTGAGTGAGCATGTTAGATGGGAGTGAATGGAGACGAATGGTGTTTGGGACCTGACGAGCTGTTGGAGTGTGAGCAGGGTAATATTTAGTGAAGGGATTCAGGGAAACCGGTTATTTTCATATAGTCGGACTTGAGTCCTGGAAATGGGAAGTACAATGGGAAGTACAATGGGAAGTACAATGGGAAGTACAATGCCTGCACTTTAAAGGAGGAGTTTGGGATATTAACAGTTTGGAGGGATATGTTGTGTATCTTTATACGTATATACTTCTAAACTGTTGTATTCTGAGCACCTCTACAAAAACAGTGATAATGTGCGAGTGTGGTGAAAGTGTTGAATGATGATGAAAGTATTTTCTTTTTGGGGAGTTTCTTTCTTTTTGGGTCACCCTGCCTCGGTGGGTCACCCTGCCTCGGTGGGTCACCCTGCTTCGGTGGGTCACTCTGCCTCGGTGGGTCACCCTGCCTCGGTGGGTCACCCTGCCTCGGTGGGTCACTCTGTCTCGGTGGGTCACCCTGCCTCGGTGGGTCATCCTGCTTCGGTGGGTCACATTGCCTCGGTGGGTCACCCTACCTCGGTGGGTCACCCTGCCTCGGTGGGTCACCCTGCCTCGGTGGGTCACACTGCCTCGGTGGGTTACCCTGCCTCGATGGGTCACATTGCCTCGGTGGGTCATCCTGCCTCGGTGGGTCACACTGCCTCGGTGGGTCACCCTGCCTCGGTGGGTCACACTGCCTCGGTGGGTCACACTGCCTCGGTGGGTCACACTGCCTCGGTGGGTTACCCTGCCTCGGTGGGTCACACTGCCTCGGTGGGTTACCCTGCCTCGGTGGGTCACATTGCCTCGGTGGGTCATCCTGCCTCGGTGGGTCACACTGCCTCGGTGGGTCACACTGCCTCGGTGGGTCACACTGCCTCGGTGGGTTACCCTGCCTCGGTGGGTCACACTGCCTCGGTGGGTTACCCTGCCTCGGTGGGTCACACTGCCTCGGTGGGTCACACTGCCTCGGTGGGTCACACTGCCTCGGTGGGTCACACTGTCTCGGTGGGTCACACTGTCTCGGTGGGTCACACTGCCTCGGTGGGTCACCCTGCCTCGGTGGGTCACACTGCCTCGGTGGGTCACCCTGCCTCAGTGGGTCACACTGCCTCGGTGGGTCACACTGCCTCGGTGGGTCACACTGCCTCGGTGGGTCACACTGTCTCGGTGGGTCACACTGCCTCGGTGGGTCACACTGCCTCGGTGGGTCACCCTGCCTCGGTGGGTCACACTGCCTCGGTGGGTTACCCTGCCTCGGTGGGTCACACTGCCTCGGTGGGTCACACTGCCTCGGTGGGTCACACTGCCTCGGTGGGTCACACTGTCTCGGTGGGTCACACTGTCTCGGTGGGTCACACTGCCTCGGTGGGTCACCCTGCCTCGGTGGGTCACCCTGCCTCGGTGGGTCACACTGCCTCGGTGGGTCACCCTGCCTCAGTGGGTCACCCTGCCTCGGTGGGTCACCCTGCCTCGGTGGGTCACCCTGCCTCGGTGGGTCACACTGTCTCGGTGGGTCACACTGCCTCGGTGGGTCACACTGCCTCGGTGGGTCACCCTGCCTCGGTGGGTCACACTACCTCGGTGGGTTACCCTGCCTCGGTGGGTCACACTGTCTCGGTGGGTCACCCTGCCTCGGTGGGTCACACCGCCTCGGTGGG